CTAGAGTCTGCCTGATTGTCTGGTTTTCTCTTGGGATGATCTGTCACATTATTTTGCTTCTTTATGTATCTCTTAATATGTATGCTATGTGCCTAACGTTATGTGTAAGAGAACAGTTGTTTTCTTTCAGAGAGGTTTGCTATTTGCTGTGTTGGTCAAATAGGAGGAGATGTTGACAATCTCAGTCCAGTCATGGATTAAGTAGACTCCTCCCTCCACTGGGATTCTGTCTTCTAGATATTGGGAGACTGTGGGAAATTGACTCTGTCCTGCTGGCCCAGCTTCCCTATCCTTAAGCATCCCATCACTAAGCTTTGTATCATTGGGGAAACTGGCTGAGTATTTGAAGCCTTTCTAGATTTCCAGTCTCATTCTAGTTAAAGCACCACTAATTCCTGGTTTTCTTCAGCAGAGTTCCTCTGTTTAAACTAAGTTCAATTTGACCTCACTTGTATCCAAACTTTGCTAATACCCCCATGGAAGAAAATGCCAATGGTCTGAGCTCACCCTTGAAGTGCTCTTTCATCTCTGGAGTTTTAGTTCATCTGCTCCTTAATTACTTCCACAGCATTCCTATGCTAGTCGAGTTTTTTTAAGGAAAAGCAATGCTCTAGTATCTTATTTTACGGAAGTGGAAGTCAGGAGTTTATCTTTGTGAAATGAAAAGGCAGATAATTTTAAGAATGCTTATTTATATTAGCATACTGACTATTTTGAATAGTTTTATTTGTGTTGCATACTAATAGTTATTTTTTTTTTTCTTTCTGATATGAGCCTGTTTATCAAAATACGCTCTAGTTCAGGGGTCGACCAATTGTGACACACAGACCAAATTGGTCCAGTGCCTGCTTTGTATGGCCTGTGAACTAAGAATGGTTTTGACATTTTTAAAAGCTTAAAAAAAATGTTTTGGGCACATAAACATTATATGAAATTCAAACTTCACTGTCCTGAAATAGTTTGGAATATAACCACACTTGTCTGTTTATGTGTTGTCTGTGTCTGCTTTCAGGCTATAATGGTTGAGTAGTTGCAACAGAGATCCTATAGTCTACAAAATGAAAAATATTTGTAATCTAGCCCTTTACAGAAACAAACAAAACAAAAAAACAACTTGCCTATTCCTGCCTCACACCAGGGATTTTTCCTTTCTTGTTACTAAGGGAAATTAAACAAAAGTTTGAAATCTTATCCCGGAAGTTTTTTGAATTTGGATTTATTAAAACTCTAGTCATCTCAGAAATCATCGCCTTCATCGTTTCATTTTACAGACGAAGATACAGATTCAGAGTGAGAGACGAGACATTTTTAAACTAAATTATGACTAATTTTTGTTTTGTTGGAAAACAGATTCTGTAATAAGCTGATATAAAAGCTAATGATCTGTATCATGGAACAACTTGCAAAATTCATTTGTTCTTATATTGCAGAAAAAAATTGGTTTTCCATAAACAGTGGTAGCTATTAAAAATTGCTTCTTTGGAATTTTTAAAGTAAATATTTTTAAAATAAATATTAAAGAATGTTAACAGCTTTTGCCTTCTATTAGCACCCATAATTCTTTAAAATCTCACTGGTGTGAGGTTCTTTCTGTGAAATGATTAAAAATTCTACAGGACCAATTTCAGACATTCTTCATTAAGTTCCTATTTGGTTTAAAATTTAAAACATCCTAAATCATCATAAATTCCAAGGTAAATTGTTAACTTGCGAGACTGGTTTCTAGAACTTTCCTTTTATCCATCCTCCGATGTCATGAAAAGTTTATTTTAAACTTGGTTTTCAACTAAGCTTTCCCATTAGTCATATATCGGGATGTTAACTTACTAGCAAATAGCATTTTTATTTCCTAATGTTGACTATAAATTTTCTTCATATACTTTTTAACTTATTACTTTCTCTTTTTGATAAACATCTAATTCTAAAACAAGCCAAATTAACAGAAAACACAGTGAAATCAATTTGTGAGAATATGGCAAAAGCTGTTTATATTCAGGAATTGGTGGGTTTAGATTCATTAACATTGTTATAGCTAATTAAATGCCAAACTAATTAAATGCATAGGAAGAAATATTTTTGGGAATACATATTAAAGCCATTTGAACTTTAAAGATGTTCATTAAACAAAAGAAAAATATTGGTGTATATTTGTGAAAATTTAAGTCTGTGATAACTAAGCTTCAGGAGAGTCATCTTAATTTAGCTTTATGTATTCTTCTCTGAAGATTGTTTTTGAGTGAACCTTGACTAAATTGTATAGAAGGGACTAACCTTTTAGCAGTTACATATACCTGTTGCTCAAGTAACTCATTTCGTTCTAGTATAAAGAGACGTTGGTTTTCTAAACCATAATGAGAATTACTCCTTACTTTTTCATTAACTTTTTCTTCATGTGATAATTCTTGAACATCCATTTTATGTCAGGGACTGATGTTGGTATTGAAAGTAAAGAGTTAAAATAAATATTCTTTAAACAAAAAGAAAGAAAGAAGTAGACATTCTTCATGCTCCCACAATGCGCATAGTTGAATAGACTGTAAGCAGGTATATGTGTTTATTTGTAGCACATGACACTATTGATCAGTCTTTCTCTTTACTTTTGTAGTATGCTATCCTGGGGAAATCTTACCTACACACATGGTTTTTCCATTACCTACTTGGCACCAAAATCTGTGTAAAATAATCTCATGGATAGCTCCTAAATGGACATGTCTGGCTCCATATCCTTTAAATGTATTGGCATATCTATGAATCTATCCTTGGTCCTCTGCTTATTTTACTCTGTAAGCTTAAGGTTTATAGCCATAGCTCTGAACTTCTTCCCTCTTTTCTCTCCTTCCTCTCTCTTTCCTCCTGCTTTTCTCTTTCTCTCAAAATAGTATTAAGTACTTTGTTCTAGGTGCTTTTTTGGACAAAGAGGCTAGAACACTGCATAAGAAAGACATGGCCTCTGTACTTTTGGAGCTTATAGCTTTATGAAGGAGTAGTGCATTAAACACATAACCTCATACATAATTACAGTGGGAGATTGCACAATGAAACACAAACGTAAAATGAAATGAGAGTGTATTTTAGGGAAACTAACCCACTCTGAGACATTCCTGAATAAACGACACTTCTATTGGAACCTCAGAGGTGACTGACTAGTGGTTAGCAGAAGATGTGGGAGAGAATGCTAGGAAGAGGGAGAACCTTTGTGAAAGCCCCCAAGGAGCTTATTAACAGGTCAGACAACTAGAAGGATATTTTTGTGCCTGGAGTATGATGAATAAGTTGGAGGCAGATGCAAAATGAAGAAGGAGAGGCTGGCAGAGGCCAGATCTTGGTAAAAGATCTCTTAAACTGTGCCAATGCTTTTGGACTTTATCCCAAGAGAATTGAGAAGATACTAGTAGGGTTTTAAGTGAGGTAATTACCTACTCAGATTTGTGTTTTTAAAAGTTGATTTTGGTTCCTGTATGAAGAATGAATTGAAGTGGGGCAAATGTGGATGTGCAGAAATGAATAACGAAGTAGACCGGGCAAGAAGTGGTGGTAACTTAGATTATTAGAATTGCAGCAGTTAAAAAAAAAAAAAAAAAAAAAAAAAAAAAAAAAAAAAAGCAGCAGTAGAGACGATGTAGACAGATTCAAGAACTGTTTATAAGGCATAGTTGACAAGATTTTATGATTATTTTGGTTTAGGGAGCTGAAGGAACTGGCAGAGATGAATTTTCATATGCTTGTTCATGTCTATCTTGTTGGCATTTTAGTATCTTTAACTCAGACATCTTTAAAGTTGAACCATTTTTTTCTTTTTGGAAACTAATTGTTCCCCTTGACTTCCCTATTTTTATGAGTGACATCCCTACCTCCAGGTGGCCTAGGCTTACAACTTTTGTTTTGGTCACAGCTTCCAGTAAGTTAGTTACCAAGTGTTAAGGACTTGACCTCCAGCATCTAGAGTCTCTTCCTTCCCCTCCTTCTCTTTCTCTACGCTTCTCTTCCCTTTCTCTGCCTCCCTCCTTTTCTCGTCCTCCTCTTCTTCTTCACTATTTTTTTATAGCAGTAGCATCCTCTTCATAGATTATTCACCTATGTTTTTCATTCAAGTCTTTGAGCTCCGTGAGGTCAAGAACTTTTTCTTTTTCGTCCTGTATTTTTAGTACTAACAGTGTGCACCGCAGCATGGCAGACATAAAAAAATATTAAATGAAAATAAAATAAATTGTTTTCCTTGACTCTTGTTTCTTCCACTATAATTCTTTGCCACATTTCCCCGATCTCTTTCTCAAAGTCATTCAGGGGCTTCCATCTGCTTAGAGAATAATTTTGTCTTAGGACTGTGAGGTGATGAAAAACTGACTGCAGAATGTGAGAAGAGTATGAGTTGGGGTTTTTTTCTATAGTAATTTAGTAAAAAGTGCCTCCTGTCCCTTTTTACACTGTAGACCTCACTACTACAAAGAACACATTTTTCTGGGAAGGGAACATATGTGATATTTTATTAGCATCCCCACTGTTGAATAAAATTTTTAAAACTTCATTTGATGCTGTTTTACATTTTTTAGTTTTATAAAAATATTTGCAGAGGGGCGCCTGGGTTGCTCATTTGGTTGAGTGTTTGACTTCAGCTTAGGTCATGATCTCAACAGCTGGTGAGTTTGAGCCCGCATCAGGCTCTGTGCTGACTGCTCAGAGCCTGGAGCCTGTCTGATTTTGTGTCTCCATCCCTCTGTGTGCCCCTCCCCTGCTCACAATCTGTCTGTCTCTCAAAAATAAACGTTAAAAAAATTTTTAAAAAATATTCGCAGAATTCAACTTTTAATCATTTAATGTGTGTTTCTTAGCTTTCCAGTATAATTATTTCAGTAGCTACATCTTATATGTACATCTAGAATATATTGTTTCATAAAAAGAAAGCTTATAGGAGAAATATTCAAATGTCTACTTTAGAAGTACCTGTTTTTCATAGCTTTGTACTAATACGAACTTTTGTAATTTGTTTTTTCCATTTTTAGGAATAAGAAAATTTTAAATAAGAAAAAGTTGAAAAGAAAACAGAAGAGCAAATCAAAAGTGAAGACAAGAAGCAAGGTAAAACTGCTGGCAATTTATAGGGAGTAAGGATTTTTTCATACAGTAATTTGAATTAAAATGCCAAGATTAAAAAAGTATAACTAGCAAACCATTTCTTTCTTTTTTTTTTAAAGTTTTTAAAAGCCCCTTATCACTTGGTTACACTGTTTAATTTCATGTTTGAACATTTCATGATCAGTAGCCTAGAAGTTAATATCTGGGTGTTGAAAATTATTTACAGTTTATTCACATTATCTTTGAACACTTCTCTGGGGGAACATATCCATTTCTCTTCTCTTTTTTACACTCTGACTGCATGTTCTAGAAACTGAGTAAAACTGGCTGTGAGTTGGGACGTGGATTTGGGTTCATCATAACGTCTGTCCATATGTCATGAATTGGGGAGAATCTTGGTATGTCTATATTCTGAGCTCTTTTGATGGTGGGTGGCTGTGCAAAAGGAAAGACAGTGTAGAATATCTGAATTAGATGAGACCGTAGAGATCAAGGACCTTTTTTCCATCTAATGCAGAAATCTGAATTAAATCTTAAACATTTTTACATTCTACCGGAGCGTGTTTTCTTTTGAACAGTACTAAGAAGCCTAGACAATAGAAAGAGAGGAATCATTAACTATGATTTCTGAACAGGTCCACTTTTGGTTAGAGAAACAATAGCTTAGCTTGGCCTCTGTATCATATTTAATTTCCAGAAACAGTTGTTTCCTGCCCTTCTTAATTAGTATTCTTACATTTTAAAGCTGAGAGAAATGTACTTTTAGTAGTAAACCAAAAAGTAAAAGTGTAGGGGATGAAATTTATTTGGTGGCTGTGTCTTGAGACACAGCTGGATCCAGGGATTAAGTAATGTCATCAATTCTGTGTCTTCATTTCTTGCTTCTGCTTTCTTCTGTGTGTGGACTTAATTGCCTATGGCTGAGGACTAAGGCTTCTGGGAGCTCCAACTGCATTTTTTTGGTCAAGAGGCAATCTCCTTTATTCTAGCAGAAAGTCTTGGGTGTGATTTTTGATTGACCTTCATCATTCATTTTGGCCTTGGAGATGGGGTACTTTGGTTAGACTGAGTTACATTTATAACCCTGTGATGGGAGATAGGTAGGCCAGCAACCTACTGAGCAGGCCATGTGAAATGGGAGGGGGGTGGTTACCCTAAGGAAAGTGTTGCTGGGTGGGCAGCTAAATAATAAATGTTAACTACATCATTTCTTATTACTTCTGTTTGTGGGATAAAAGAGGGAAGTGGAGAACATTCTTAATATATTTGGTACATAGTCATTCAGAATTTCAGCCTCTACTTCTTTTCCACTTCTTGGTGTTATGTGCAAAGTCAGAGTATGGGAATCTTAAAAATCTGTTTTAATTTCTTTAAAGGTTTCATTTGGTGATTTTCCTAAAAGTGGTATCCTAAGATATCCAGGAAGAGGTGAGAAGTCAAGGTCTTTCATCCCTTCATTTCTGTCTTTAGCTTTATGCCTTTAGTAATAAATCTTCCTTCTCTTGGCCTCAGGTTTTATGTCTGCTTTTTAGGAGCAGCTTGTGATAAGAGTGATACAAAAAGAAGTTACTCATTTATTCCTAAAACATTAATTGCATGCTGACTATGTGCAGGAATTATGCTGGGTATTTAGAATAGAAAGATGAATAAGAAACATTTTCTGCTTATGATGGGCATATAAAATAATAAAATGATGTAGTTAGTCTCCTTGTTCCCAATTACTGTTTCTGGACTACTTTTCATCCACTGTCTTTTTATTTTTTATATCTATTTATTTATTTATTTATTTAATATTTCTTTTTTTTTTTAATTTTTTTTTAATGTTTATTTATTTTTGAGACAGAGAGACAGAGCATGAATGGGGGAGATTAGTAGAGAGAGCACAGAATGGAGAGCTCCAGGCCTAGAATTGACTTCGGCTGCTCAAACAGAGCCCCACAGGGGCTATTCAGCTTCTGAACTCATGAAACCGACAAGAGCCTTCATGACCCTGATCACTGGCCAGTGGACATTTTCACCGGCTGACAGAGCAGCCAACAGGCTAATATTTCCATTTCCTTTTGTTACTATTTATCAAATTAAATTAGTTAGTATATAGTGCAACAATGATTTCCAGGAGTAGATTCTTAGCTGGTGCCTTTATCCTTTAGCCCATCCCACACCCCTCCAATGTGCAAATTCCCTCCAAGTGACCCTCTCCATATTGCTCCATTTATGAGTCTCTTCTGTTTTATTCCCCTCCTGTTTTTTATATTTTTTGTTTCCTTCCCTTATGTTCATCTGTTTTATTCTAAAGTTCCTCATATGGTGAGTCATACGTGACATTTGTCTTTCTACACCTACAAATACCCTCCCATCCACTAATGAATTTACCAAATGCCACTGCAGTTTCTATCCATTAGTTGCAAGCAAGATTTCATTCTTTTGATTGCTTAGTATTACTCAATTGTATATATATAATATCTTCTTTATCCATTCATCCATTTCCGATGGACACTAGGGCTCTTTCCATACTTTGGTATTTGTTTGATAGTGCTGCCATAAACATGGGGGTGCACTGTCCTTAACCATACCTGTCATATCCCTGGATAAATGCCTGGGTACAATTGCTGGGTCATAGGTTAGTTCTATTTTTTAGTTTTTTGAGAACCTCCATACTGTTTTCCAGAGTAGCTGCACTAGCTTGCATTCCCACCAACACTGCAAAAGAGAGTCTTTCTCACTTCCCTCACTACCAACATCTGTTGTTTGCCCTGAGTTGGTTAATGTTAGCCATTCTGACAGGTGATTTTGGGAGGTGGTATCTCATTGTGATTTGATTTGTATTTTTCCCTGAAGATGAGTGATGTTGTTTTCAATAATATTGGCCATCTGGATATCTTCTTTAGAAGTCATGTCTTTGCCATTCTTCACTGGATTATTGTTATTTTTTTTTTGTTATTTTGATTGATAGGTTTGATAAGTTCTTAATAATTGGGATGACAGCGACTGATAGTGTTTGCAAATACTTAAAATTTACACTTACCATGTCTATCCGTCTTTGCCCATTTCTTCACTGATTAGTTTGTTTTGCTGAGCTGATTGTTTCCTTTAATAGATTTGGGAGAAGCTTTTCTTTAATTCGAGTTGATAAATACTAAATTATTTTCCATTCCATAGTGCCTTTGGTTACCCCTTGCCTCCTGGAGACATGTGGAGTAAGAAATTGCGCAGCAGACGAGATCAAAGAGGTTTTTGCCTGCTTTCTCCTCAAGGATTCTGGGACCATTTCCTGTCTTTACATTGAGGTCCCTTTCAGCATCCTTTGAGTTTATTTTTGTGTATGGTGTAAGAAATTGGTCCAGGTTCATTCTTCTGTGTGCTGTCGCTGTCCAGTTTTCCCAGCACCACTGCCGCTGAAAGACTGTCTTTATTCATTGGATATTCTTTTCTGCTTTGTCAGAGATTAGTTATGTTTGGCCACCCATCCCAGGTCCTTCTGGGTTCTCTATTCTGTTCCATTGATCTGAGTGTCGTTTGCCGGTACCATCATATGCTGTCTTGATGATTGGTACAGCTTTGTGGTATAGCTTGAAGTCCAGGATTGTGATGCTTTCCTGCTTTGGTTTCTTTTCAGATTGCTTTGGCTATTCAGGGTCTTTCTGGTTCCATACAAATTTTAGGATTATTTGTTCTAGCTCTGTAGAATGCTGGTGTTATTTTGATAGGGATTGGATTCATCTCTTAGATTGCTTTGGGTAGTACTGACATTTTAACAATATTTGTTCTTCCCTATCCAGGAGCATGCTCTTTCCATTTTGTGTTTCTTCAATTTCTTTTCTCACTAGGCAAGGTTTCTATAGTTTTCATTAGCATGCAATTTTCACCTCTGATTTAGATTTTATTCCTAGGTATTTTATGGTTTTTTTTGTGCAACTGTAAGTGGGATTGATTCCTTGATTTCTCTTTCTGTTGCTTCATTGTTGGTGTATGGGAATGTAATCGATTTCTGTGCATTGATTTTATATCCTGCAGCTTTGCTGAATTCACGAATCAATTCTAACTTAACAGTTTTTTTGGTGGAATTTTGGGTTTTCCAACAAATTATCTGTCTCATAGAGTATCATCTCACGAGTGAAAGTTTGACTTCCCTCTATGTGATTTAGTTTTTATTTCTTTGTGTTGTCTGATTGCAGAGGCTAAGACTTCCAATACTATGTTGAATAACAGTGGTGAGAAGTGGACATCCGTGTCTTGTTCCTGACCTTAGGGGGAAAGCTGTCAGGGGGAAAGTTTTTCCCCATTGAGGATGATATTAGCATTGGGTCGTTCACATATGGCTTTTATGATCTAGAGGTATGCTCCTTCTATCCTTACTTTCGTGAGGGTTTTTATCAAGAAAGGATGCTGTATTTTGTCAAATGCTTTCTCTGCACATCCACCATTTTTTTAAAAGACACTTACTTAAATAATGCCAATGAGATTTTCCCCCCATATATTTAAGAACAAGCATTTCTTAAAAAAAAACAAAAAACAAAAAACGCATTTCTTTTCAGCAAATAAGATACCATTTAGCTACACTACTTTATCACCTTCTTTATTGCTGTCATTGGCCCCTCTGTTTCTCCTCATCCGTTAGCCATCTCCTTGATTCAATTTCCTTTTTATCCAGCTTAGATAGCACGGTCTTTTTAGAAAAAAAACATTGCTTAATCTGGATTAATTCCCTATTGCTGCTGTAACAAATTATACAAACTTGATGGCTTAAAACAACACAAATGATCCTACAATTTTGGAAGTCTGGAGTCCGAAGTGGATCTCACTGTGCTAAAATCAAGGTGTCAGTAAATCTGCATTTCTTCTGGAGGCTCTAGGAGAGAATTTATTCCCTTGCCTTTTCCAGCTTCTAGACACTGCCTGCATTCCTTGGGTTAATGCCCTTTTCTACCTTCAAAGTCAGCTATGGTGGTTTTTTCCTCTCACACTGCATTACTCTGACATGTTTCTGTTGTTACAACTTCTTT